GGTAGTCTGCTACTAAACACGGGAAGGATGAGTGAGAGAAGGAAGATGACAAAAGAGGAAGAACAACTTCTACTGAGGTCAAAGCTCATTCTCAATGAGAATGTCTAAACCCCATGACAGAGGTGCCCTGCCTAGAAAGTCATTGCCAAATACAGAGCGCATGAGCATAACACAAGAACGAGTGGCTGGTGGAGCTGAACCTTGTGTGTGGATGTCCAGGCTGAAGCCTCAACATTATGAGGAGATGGGCCACATTTATTAGGAAACACTTTAAAGCGATGTCTTGCAGGGCAGGAATCTATCTTCACCTGGAGGTTTAGGACACTCATCGGCTGCATCATCTGCCTATGCTGACTTGTCATTTCCCCTGAAAACATTAGGGCTCTAATCGTGTCTGTTGAAAGGAGCCCGAGTGGCTGAATGGGCACGTCATGAACAGGGAAATGAAAAGGAAGTGTTGCAGGGAACATGAAGAACAGTTCCCATTTCTTTAATTGTGATGGTTTGCATGGAAGATGAGCTTGCTGGTAAACACATTCCTTACTAAAAGAGTGCCTGTGGGCCTGGGGCAGTCTGGAGCAGTATAAAAGCCAGTGGAGCTGCAGGCTCCCTCATCCACTTCTCTTGTCTTCTCCTCCTTGGTAAGCAAGGTGAGATAGAACTGCCTTTTCAAACTCTTTCTCCTTTCCCCTCTGTCTTCTTGTATCACTGAGCTCCTTTCTGTTTGTGTCCTGAGACTTGAATCCGTGCAACAACAATGGAAGGAGGGGGAAAAGTTTTTTAAGGGGATGCTTCAGCACAGGGTGTCCAAGACCTCTCTTCCTCCCTCCTGATGCTGTCCTTGCTCCCAAGCCTGTGCTTTGCTCTGGGTTTGTAGGCTGCCAGGGAGATTCTTGCCTGCTGACTGTTCTTCCCTGCCCTCTCTCCCAGGTCCACCTCCATCCCACAGACATGTCCTGCTACGATCTGTGCCGTCCCTGTGGGCCAACCCCACTGGCCAACAGCTGCAACGAGCCCTGTGTCAGGCAGTGCCAGGACTCCCGTGTGGTGATCCAGCCCTCTCCCGTGGTGGTGACGCTGCCCGGACCTATCCTCAGCTCCTTCCCCCAGAACACCGCCGTGGGATCCTCCACCTCTGCTGCTGTTGGCAGCATCCTGAGTGAGGAGGGAGTGCCCATCAACTCTGGGGGCTTCAGCCTCTCTGGCCTTGGTGGCCGCTACTGCGGCAGAAGGAGCCTGCCCTGCTAAGCCCAGGTCGGATGTCCAGTGAGTGCATGGACCAGGAAGCCCAAAGCCAGGTGCCGGACTGAGGACACTGCTGCTGGCCAGAGTTCCCAGGCAGGCTGAGAATCCTTGTGTCCTCCTGCAAGGGAGGGAGACAAGCAAGATGCCAGCCTGTGCTGTCTGGAAACACAGCCAGCTGAAGTCTTCTCCTGCTTTGCTATCTGAAACATGAGTCCCTGTTACCTCCTGCTGTCCTGTGCCATGGGTTCATCCTGAAGCAAGTTGAGAGGGTTTCTAATCAGCACCCTCTGCACATGTGTGTCAGATCAAGGTACTTGTCCTGCTGTTGTGAAGAGGTGCCTGAGTTTCAGGTGCCTTTGTAGCAGCCTGGACATAGTCTCTTTCAGGATGCACTGCTTTCTTTCTCTCTTTTTATTCATTAAAATTTATTCTGCATTATAGTTTGTTTCTCCTCATGCTGCTTCCCTTCGGGGATTTCCAGTCAAGCTATGCAGAGTGAAATGGGATGCCCAGGCAATCTGTTCAAGGGAAATCCAGATGCCTTGAAAAGAGCGACAGTGGGTGGGTAAGAGTCAGTGGTAGACCACCTCTGTGCATGGATGAGCTGAATACACTCAAGTGAGATGAGCTAAATGCACTCAAGGGCAATGGTCGTTAGAAGAGGCAGTGAGCGTATTATATTTTCTGGACATACAATGGCTGGCAAGGAGCTCTGTCAGGGTACATGGGAACCGCATGTGAGGTTGGATCCTGGATTCCTATGAGTATGCAATACAATAACCAGCTGGAAGGCATTTCTATGCAGGCTAAGACCCACCTGCCCAACACTCTAACTGTATGTTACCACTCACAATATGCACCTGCCCTTCCCTCCTCCAAGCCTTTTGTGCAAATCATAGTAGTGGAGAGAGTGCCAAAGGAGTTGAAGGGAAGCTTTTGGACAGGGCAACTGTAAAATGAGATGTGACCACTGTTCTGGATGTTTCCACATTTGGGAAGGGTTTTATCATGGATGGGTAAAAGTTGCAGGAGGGGGCACTGTGCACATGGGTCTCATCTAAAGAGATTGCAGTGTTGTTACATGCTGGAAAGCATGTGGAGGGTGAGCAGGGTGAAGGAAAAGCATCTTTGCCCCACTTGGAGCAGTCTTGTGCTGAAAAGCACTGCTGAGTCCCCCTGTTTGTTACTGTGTCTGAAAGGAATGCACACTGCAGCAAATGTCCTGAGAATCATTGAAGAGTTAGGTTTTAAATGGACCTTAAATTTCATCTAGATCGACTTTCCTGCTAAAAGCTGGGACAACTTCCACTAAATCCTTCAGAAATCCCACACAGGTGTTGTGCAGGATTTGACTGGGGACATAAAAAACAACAATACTTATGTCCTTTCAAGCATGTCCCAAGGTAGAAAGGCTGAGGCAGTGGTACCCCACCATCTCAATTCTCATTCCCTCCATCACATGCAGGGAAATCTTTGTGTTGCACTTCTGCTTGTGCTTTGGGTAGAGTAGGAGCCATCTGTTGTGCCATACGCCTCCAATTGCCCTTGCAAAGAGTCATGGGCCCTGTTCACTACTGAGCACTGTTGTGTCCTCTGTGAAATTCTGCCAAGTATTTGGTCATGTCCGGTTTGCAGCCATCTTCATAGCTAAAGTAGATGTGGTGGCAAAGTCATGGGGTGTAAGAAGGACATCTTTATTGGCCATGAAATGCCTTGGTCCCCCGTGTGTGTTCAGCTTTGCCTGCGGTCTCTATTTTTGAGGGGAATAGCCTTGGTCCTTAAGCACTGGTAGTCTGCTACTAAACACGGGAAGGATGAGTGAGAGAAGGAAGATGACAAAAGAGGAAGAACAACTTCTACTGAGGTCAAAGCTCATTCTCAATGAGAATGTCTAAACCCCATGACAGAGGTGCCCTGCCTAGAAAGTCATTGCCTAATACAGAGCGCATGAGCATAACACAAGAACGAGTGGCTGGTGGAGCTGAACCTTGTGTGTGGATGTCCAGGCTGAAGCCTCAACATTATGAGGAGATGGGCCACATTTATTAGGAAACACTTTAAAGCGATGTCTTGCAGGGCAGGAATCTATCTTCACCTGGAGGTTTAGGACACTCATCGGCTGCATCATCTGCCTATGCTGACTTGTCATTTCCCCTGAAAACATTAGGGCTCTAATCGTGTCTGTTGAAAGGAGCCCGAGTGGCTGAATGGGCACGTCATGAACAGGGAAATGAAAAGGAAGTGTTGCAGGGAACATGAAGAACAGTTCCCATTTCTTTAATTGTGATGGTTTGCATGGAAGATGAGCTTGCTGGTAAACACATTCCTTACTAAAAGAGTGCCTGTGGGCCTGGGGCAGTCTGGAGCAGTATAAAAGCCAGTGGAGCTGCAGGCTCCCTCATCCACTTCTCTTGTCTTCTCCTCCTTGGTAAGCAAGGTGAGATAGAACTGCCTTTTCAAACTCTTTCTCCTTTCCCCTCTGTCTTCTTGTATCACTGAGCTCCTTTCTGTTTGTGTCCTGAGATTGAATCCGTGCAACAACAATGGAAGGAGGGGGACAAGATTTTTAAGGGGATGCTTCAGGACAGGGTGTCCAAGACCTCTCTTCCTCCCTCCTGATGCTGTCCTTGCTCCCAAGCCTGTGCTTTGCTCTGGGTTTGTAGGCTGCCAGGGAGATTCTTGCCTGCTGACTGTTCTTCCCTGCCCTCTCTCCCAGGTCCACCTCCATCCCACAGACATGTCCTGCTACGATCTGTGCCGTCCCTGTGGGCCAACCCCACTGGCCAACAGCTGCAACGAGCCCTGTGTCAGGCAGTGCCAGGACTCCCGTGTGGTGATCCAGCCCTCTCCCGTGGTGGTGACCCTGCCCGGACCCATCCTCAGCTCCTTCCCCCAGAACACCGCCGTGGGATCCTCCACCTCTGCTGCTGTTGGCAGCATCCTGAGTGAGGAGGGAGTGCCCATCAACTCTGGGGGCTTCAGCCTCTCTGGCCTTGGTGGCCGCTACTGCGGCAGAAGGAGCCTGCCCTGCTAAGCCCAGGTTGGATGTCCAGTGAGTGCATGGACCAGGAAGCCCAAAGCCAGGTGCCGGACTGAGGACACTGCTGCTGGCCAGAGTTCCCAGGCAGGCTGAGAATCCTTGTGTCCTCCTGCAAGGGAGGGAGACAAGCAAGATGCCAGCCTGTGCTGCCTGGAAACACAGCCAGCTGATGTCTTCTCCTGCTTTGCTATCTGAAACATGAGTCCCTGTTACCTCCTGCTGTCCTGTGCCATGGGTTCATCCTGAAGCAAGTTGAGAGGGTTTCTAATCAGCACCCTCTGCACATGTGTGTCAGATCAAGGTACTTGTCCTGCTGTTGTGAAGAGGTGCCTGAGTTTCAGGTGCCTTTGTAGCAGCCTGGACATAGTCTCTTTCAGGATGCACTGCTTTCTTTCTCTCTTTTTATTCATTAAAATTTATTCTGCATTATAGTTTGTTTCTCCTCATGCTGCTTCCCTTCGGGGATTTCCAGTCAAGCTATGCAGAGTGAAATGGGATGCCCAGGCAATCTGTTCAAGGGAAATCCAGATGCCTTGAAAAGAGCGACAGTGGGTGGGTAAGAGTCAGTGGTAGACCACCTCTGTGCATGGATGAGCTGAATACACTCAAGTGAGATGAGCTAAATGCACTCAAGGGCAATGGTCGTTAGAAGAGGCAGTGAGCGTATTATATTTTCTGGACATACAATGGCTGGCAAGGAGCTCTGTCAGGGTACATGGGAACCGCAAGTGAGGTTGGATCCTGGATTCCATATGAGCATGCAATACAATAACCAGCTGGAAGATGTTTCTATGCAGGCTAAGACCCACCTGCCCAGCACTCTAACTGTATGTTACCACTCACAATATGCACCTGCCCTTCCCTCCTCCAAGCCTTTTGTGCAAATCATAGTAGTGGAGAGAGTGCCAAAGGAGTTGAAGTGAAGCTTTTGGACAGGGCAATTGTAAAATGAGATGTGACGTCTCTTCTGTATGTTTCCACATTTGGGTTTTATCATGGATGGGTAAAAGCTGCAGGAGGGGGCACTGTGCATATAGGACTCACCTAAAGACATTACAGCGTTGTTACATGCTGGAAAGCATGTGGAGGGTGAGCAGGGTGAAGGAAAAGCATCTTTGCCCCACTTGGAGCAGTCTTGTGCTGAAAAGCACTGCTGAGTCCCCCTGTTTGTTACTGTGTCTGAAAGGAATGCACACTGCAGCAAATGTCCTGTGAATGATTGAAGTGTGAGGTTTTTAAGTTATCTGAAATGTCAACTAGTTTGACTCTCCTGCTAAAAGTTGGGACAACTTCCACTAAATCCTCCAGAAATCCCACACAGGTGTTGTGCAGGATTTGACTGGGGACATAAAAAACAACAATACTTATGTCCTTTCAAGCATGTCCCAAGGTAGAAAGGCTGAGGCAGTGGTACCCCACCATCTCAATTCTCATTCCCTCCATCACATGCAGGGAAATCTTTGTGTTGCACTTCTGCTTGTGCTTTGGGTAGAGTAGGAGCCATCTGTTGTGCCATACGCCTCCAATTGCCCTTGCAAAGAGTCATGGACCCTGTTCACTACTGAGCACTGTTGTGTCTTCTGTGGAAATTCTGCCAAGCATTTGGCCATGTCCGGTTTGCAGCCATCTGCATAGCTAAAGTAGATGTGGTGGCAAAGTCATGGGGTGGAAGAAGGACATCTTTATTGGCCATGAAATGCCTTGGTCCCCCATGGGTGTTCAGCTTTGCCTGTGGTCTCTATTTTTGAGGGGAATAGCCTTGGTCCTTAAGCACTGGAAGTCTGCTACTAAACACGGGAAGGATGAGTGAGAGAAAGAAGATGACAAAAGGGGAAGAACTACTGAGGTCAAAGCTCATTCTCAATGAGAACATCTAAACCCCATGACAGAGGTGCCCTGCCTAGAAAGGCGATGCCTAATACAGAGTGCATGAGCATAACACAAGAATGAGTGGCTGGTGAAGCTGAACCTTGTGTGTGGATGTCCAGGCTGAAGCCTCAAGGTTATGAGGAGATGGGCCACATTTATTAGGAAACACTTTAAAGCGATGTCCTGCAGGGCAGGAATCTGGCTTCACCTCGAGGTTTAGAACATTCCTCATCACCGGCTGCATCATCTGCCTATGCTGACTTGTCATTTCCCCTGAAAACATTAGGGCTCTAATCGTGTCTGTTGAAAGGAGCCTGAGTGGCTGAATGGGCATATCATGAACAGGGAAATGAAAAGGAAGTGTTGCAGGGAACATGAAGAACAGTTCCCATTTCTTTAATTGTGATGGTTTGCATGGAAGATGGGCTTGCTGGTAAACACATTCCTTACTAAAAGAGTGCCTGTTGGCCTGGGGCAGTCTGGCGCAGTATAAAAGCCAGTCCAGCCCAGGCTCCCTCATCCACTTCTCTTGCCTTCTCCTCCTTGGTAAGCAAGGTGAGATAGAACTGCCTTTTCAAACTCTTTCTCCTTTTCTCCTCTGTCTTCTTGTATCACTGAGCTCCTTACTCTTTGTATCCTAAGTTTTGCATCCTTGCAACAACAATGGAAGGAGGGGGACAAGTTTTTTCAGGGGATGCTTCTGGACTGGGTGTCCAGGATCTCTCTTCCTCCCTCCTGATGCTGTCCCTTCTCCCAAGCCTGTGCTTTGCTCTGGGTTTGTAGGCTGCCAGGGTGATTCTTGCCTGCTGACTGTTCTTCCTTGCCCTCTCTCCCAGGTCCACCTCCATCCCACAGCCATGTCCTGCTACGATCTGTGCCGTCCCTGTGGGCCAACCCCACTGGCCAACAGCTGCAACGAGCCCTGTGTCAGGCAGTGCCAGGACTCCCGTGTGGTGATCCAGCCCTCTCCCGTGGTGGTGACCCTGCCCGGACCCATCCTCAGCTCCTTCCCCCAGAACACCGCCGTGGGATCCTCCACCTCTGCTGCTGTTGGCAGCATCCTGAGTGAGGAGGGAGTGCCCATCAACTCTGGGGGCTTCAGCCTCTCTGGCCTTGGTGGCCGCTACTGCGGCAGAAGGAGCCTGCCCTGCTAAGCCCAGGTCGGATGTCCAGTGAGTGCATGGACCAGGAAGCCCAAAGCCAGGTGCCGGACTGAGGACACTGCTGCTGGCCAGAGTTCCCAGGCAGGCTGAGAATCCTTGTGTCCTCCTGCAAGGGAGGGAGACAAGCAAGATGCCAGCCTGTGCTGTCTGGAAACACAGCCAGCTGAAGTCTTCTCCTGCTTTGCTCTCTGAAACATGAGTCCCTTTTGCCTCCTGCTGTCCTGTGTCATGGGTTCACCCTGAAGCAAGTTGAGAAGGTTTCTTATCAGCACCCTCTGCATATGTGTGTCGAAGGAAGATGCTTGTCCTACTGCTGTGAAGAGGTGCCTGAGTGTCAGGTGCCCTTTTAGCAAGATGGTCATCGTCTCTTTCAGGATGCACTGCTTTCTTTCTCTCTTTTTATTCATTAAAGTTTATGCTGCATTATAGTTTGTTTCTCCTCATGTTGCTTCCCTTCGGGGATTTCCAGTCAAGCTATGCAGAGTGAAATGGGATGCTCAGGCAAAATCTGTCCAAGTGTATTTGGGATGCCTTGAAGGGAGAGACAGTGGGTGGGTAAGAGTCAGTGGTAGACCACCTTTGTGCATGGATGAGCTGCGTGCACTCAAGTAGGGTGAGCTGAATGCATTCAAGGGCTATGGTCACTGTAAGAGATATTGAGTGTGATATATTTTCTGAACATACAAAGGCTGGTAAGGAGCTCTGTCAGGGCACATGGGAACCCCAAGTGAGGTTGGATCCTGGATTCCATATGAGCATGCAATACAATAACCAGCTGGAAGATGTTTCTATGCAGGCTAAGACCCACCTGCCCAACACTCTAACTGTATGTTACCACTCACAATACACACCTGCCCTTCCCTCCTCCAAGCCTTTTGTGCAAATCATAGTAGTGGAGAGAGTGCCAAAGGAGTTGAAGGGAAGCTTTTGGACAGGGCAATTGTAAACTGAGATGTGACCTCTCTTCTGGATGTTTCCACATTTGGGAAGGGTTTTATCATGGATGGGTAAAAGTTGCAGGAGGGGGCACTGTGCACATGGGTCTCATCTAAAGACAGTGCAGTGTTGTTACGTGCTGGAAAGCATGTGGAGGGTGAGCAGGGTGAAGGAAAAGCATCTTTGCCCCACTTGGAGCAGTCTTGTGCTGAAAAGCACTGCTGAGTCCCCCTGTTTGTTACTGTGTCTGAAAGGAATGCACACTGCAGCAAATGTCCTGAGAATCATTGAAGTGTGAGGTTTTTAAGTTACCTGAAATGTCAACTAGTTTGACTCTCCTGCTAAAAGCTGGGACAACTTCCACTAAATCCTCCAGAAATCCCACACAGGTGTTGTGCAGGATTTGACTGGGGACATAAAAAACAACAATACTTATGTCCTTTCAAGCATGTCCCAAGGTAGAAAGGCTGAGGCAGTGGTACCCCACCATCTCAATTCTCATTCCCTCCATCACATGCAGGGAAATCTTTGTGTTGCACTTCTGCTTGTGCTTTGGGTAGAGTAGGAGCCATCTGTTGTGCCATACGCCTCCAATTGCCCTTGCAAAGAGTCATGGGCCCTGTTCACTACTGAGCACTGTTGTGTCCTCTGTGAAATTCTGCCAAGCATTTGGCCATGTCTGGTTTGCAGCCATCTTCATAGCTAAAGTAGAAGTGGTGGTAAAGTCATGGGGTGGAAGAAGGACATCTTTATTGGCCATGAAATGCCTTGGTCCCCCGTGTGTGTTCAGCTTTGCCTGCGGTCTCTATTTTTGAGGGGAATAGCCTTGGTCCTTAAGCACTGGTAGTCTGCTACTAAACACGGGAAGGATGAGTGAGAGAAGGAAGATGACAAAAGAGGAAGAACAACTTCTACTGAGGTCAAAGCTCATTCGCAATGAGAACTTCTAAACCCCATGACAGAGGTGCCCTGCCTAGAAAGGCATTGCCTAATACAGAGCGCATGAGCATAACACAAGAATGAGTGGCTCGTGGAACTGAACCTTGTGTGTGGATGTCCAGGCTGAAGCCTCAACATTATGAGGAGATGGGCCACATTTATTAGGAAACACTTTAAAGCAATGTCCTGCAGGGCAGGAATCTGTCATCACCTGGAGAGTTAGGACACTCCTCATTGGCTGCATCATCTGCCTATGCTGACTTGTCATTTCCCCTGAAAACATTAGGGCTCTAATCGTGTCTGTTGAAAGGAGCCCGAGTGGCTGAATGGGCATATCATGAACAGGGAAATGAAAAGGAAGTGTTGCAGGGAACATGAAGAACAGTTCCCATTTCTTTAATTGTGATGGTTTGCATGGAAGATGGGCTTGCTGGTAAACACATTCCTTACTAAAAGAGTGCCTGTGGGCCTGGGGCAGTCTGGAGCAGTATAAAAGCCAGTCCAGCCCAGGCTCCCTCATCCACTTCTCTTGCCTTCTCCTCCTTGGTAAGCAAGGTGAGATAGAACTGCCTTTTCAAACTCTTTCTCCTTTTCTCCTCTGTCTTCTTGTATCACTGAGCTCCTTACTCTTTGTATCCTAAGTTTTGCATCCTTGCAACAACAATGGAAGGTGGGGGACAAGTTTTTTCAGGGGATGCTTCTGGACTGGGTGTCCAGGACCTCTCTTCCTCCCTCCTGATGCTGTCCCTTCTCCCAAGCCTGTGCTTTGCTCTGGGTTTGTAGGCTGCCAGGGTGATTCTTGCCTGCTGACTGTTCTTCCTTGCCCTCTCTCCCAGGTCCACCTCCATCCCACAGCCATGTCCTGCTACGATCTGTGCCGTCCCTGTGGGCCAACCCCACTGGCCAACAGCTGCAACGAGCCCTGTGTCAGGCAGTGCCAGGACTCCCGTGTGGTGATCCAGCCCTCTCCCGTGGTGGTGACCCTGCCCGGACCCATCCTCAGCTCCTTCCCCCAGAACACCGCCGTGGGATCCTCCACCTCTGCTGCTGTTGGCAGCATCCTGAGTGAGGAGGGAGTGCCCATCAACTCTGGGGGCTTCAGCCTCTCTGGCCTTGGTGGCCGCTACTGTGGCAGAAGGAGCCTGCCCTGCTAAGCCCAGGTTGGATGTCCAGTGAGTGCATGGACCAGGAAGCCCAAAGCCAGGTGCCGGACTGAGGACACTGCTGCTGGCCAGAGTTCCCAGGCAGGCTGAGAATCCTTGTGTCCTCCTGCAAGGGAGGGAGACAAGCAAGATGCCAGCCTGTGCTGTCTGGAAACACAGCCAGCTGAAGTCTTCTCCTGCTTTGCTCTCTGAAACATGAGTCCCTGTTACCTCCTGCTGTCCTGTGCCATGGGTTCATCCTGAAGCAAGTTGAGAGGGTTTCTAATCACAACCCTCTGCATATGTGTGTCGAAGGAAGATGCTTGTCCTACTGCTGAGAAGAGGTGCCTGAGTGTCAGGTGCCCTTTTAGCAAGATGGTCATTGTCTCTTTCAGGATGCACTGCTTTCTTTCTCTCTTTTTATTCATTAAAGTTTATGCTGCATTATAGTTTGTTTCTCCTCATGTTGCTTCCCTTCGGGGATATCCAGTCAAGCTATGCAGAGTGAAATGGGATGCTCAGGCAAAATCTGTCCAAGTGTATTTGGGATGCCTTGAAGGGAGAGACAGTGGGTGGGTAAGAGTCAGTGGTAGACCACCTCTGTGCATGGATGAGCTGCGTGCACTCAAGTAGGGTGAGCTGAATGCATTCAAGGGCTATGGTCACTGTAAGAGATATTGAGTGTGATATATTTTCTGGACATACAATGGCTGGCAAGGAGCTCTGTCAGGGTACATGGGAATCGCAAGTGAGTTTGGATCCTGGATTCCATATGAGTATGCAATACAATAACCAGCTGGAAGATGTTTCTATGCAGGCTAAGACCCACCTGCCCAACACTCTAACTGTATGTTACCACTCACAATATGCACCTGCCCTTCCCTCCTCCAAGCCTTTTGTGCAAATCATTGTAGTGGAGAGAGTGCCAAAGGAGTTGAAGTGAAGCTTTTGGACAGGGCAATTGTAAACTGAGATGTGACCTCTCTTCTGGATGTTTCCACATTTGGGAAGGGTTTTATCATGGATGGGTAAAAGCTGCAGGAGGGGGCACTGTGCACATGGGTCTCATCTAAAGACAGTGCAGTGTTGTTACGTGCTGGAAAGCATGTGGAGGGTGAGCAGGGTGAAGGAAAAGCATCTTTGCCCCACTTGGAGCAGTCTTGTGCTGAAAAGCACTGCTGAGTCCCCCTGTTTGTTACTGTGTCTGAAGGGAATGCACACTGCAGCAAATGTCCTGTGAATCATTGAAGTGTGAGGTTTTAAAGTTACCTGAAACGTCAACTAGTTTGACTCTCCTGCTAAAAGTTGGGACAGCTTCCACTAAATCCTCCAGAAATCCCACACAGGTCCTTTGCACGATGTGCCTCGAGACATACAAACCAGCAATACCTTTGTCCTTTCAAGGATGTCCCAAGGTAGAAAGGCTGAGGCAGTGGTACCCCACCATCTCAATTCTCATTCCCTCCATCACATGCAGGGAAATCTTTGTGTTGCACTTCTGCTTGTGCTTTGGGTAGAGTAGGAGCCATCTGTTGTGCCATACGCCTCCAATTGCCCTTGCAAAGAGTCATGGGCCCTGTTCACTACTGAGCACTGTTGTGTCCTCTGTGAAATTCTGCCAAGCATTTGGCCATGTCCGGTTTGCAGCCATCTTCATAGCTAAAGTAGATGTGGTGGCAAAGTCATGGGGTGTAAGAAGGACATCTTTATTGGCCATGAAATGCCTTGGTCCCCCGTGTGTGTTCAGCTTTGCCTGTGGTCTCTATTTGGGAGGGGAATAGCCTTGGTCCTTAAGCACTGGTAGTCTGCTACTAAACACGGGAAGGACGAGTGAGAGAAGGAAGATGACAAAAGCGGAAGAACAACTTCTACTGAGGTCAAAGCCCATTCTCAATGAGAATGTCTAAACCCCATGACAGAGGTGCCCTGCCTAGAAAGTCATTGCCTAATACAGAGCGCATGAGCATAACGCAAGAACGAGTGGCTGGTGGAGCTGAACCTTGTGTCTATGTCCAGGCTGAAGCCTCAAGGTTATGAGGAGATGGGCCACATATATGAGGAAATACTTTAAAGTGATGTCCTTCAGGGCAAGAGTCTTGCCTCACTTGTGAGGTAGAACATTCCTCATCGGCTGCATCATCTGCCTATGCTGACTTGTCATTTCCCCTGAAAAAGTTAGGGCTCTAATAGTGTCTGTTGAAAGGAGCCTGAGTGGCTGAATGGGCACGTCATGAACAGGGAAATGAAAAGGAAGTGTTGCAGGGAACATGAAGAACAGTTCCCATTTCTTTAATTGTGATGCTTTGCATGGAAGATGAGCTTCTTGGTAAACGCATTTCATGCTCAAAGCATGCTTCTGGGCCTGGGGTGTCCTGCACTAGTATAAAAGCCAGTGCAGCTGCAGGCTCCCTCATCCACTTCTCTTGCCTTCTCCTCCTTGGTGAACAAGGTGAGCTGCAATTGAATTTGCCTCACTCCTCTGTTTTGCTTAAACTCCTCTTTTACTTCTGATCTTGTTAAAAATTTTGCTGAGAGTCTTGGTCCTTTTCACACTCTTGACTTTGGACTCTTAGCCACCACTATGAGAGGTAGAGAACGGTCTTTGGTTTTCATTCCTGTTTTGGGTTCAGGGCTCTTATCCCTCTTCTTTCCTACTGAAGCTGTCCCTGCTCCCAAGCCTGTGCCTTTGCTCTGGCTGAGCAGGCTGTCAGGCTGCTCCTCACACGCTGCCTGTGCTTTCCCTGCTCTCTCTCCCAGGTCCACCTCCATCCCACAGCCATGTCCTGCTACGATCTGTGCCGTCCCTGTGGGCCAACCCCACTGGCCAACAGCTGCAACGAGCCCTGTGTCAGGCAGTGCCAGGACTCCCGTGTGGTGATCCAGCCCTCTCCCGTGGTGGTGACCCTGCCCGGACCCATCCTCAGCTCCTTCCCCCAGAACACCGCCGTGGGATCCTCCACCTCTGCTGCTGTTGGCAGCATCCTGAGTGAGGAGGGAGTGCCCATCAACTCTGGGGGCTTCAGCCTCTCTGGCCTTGGTGGCCGCTACTGTGGCAGAAGGTACCTGCCCTGCTAAATCCAGGCTGGACATGTCCATTGAATGTGTGGACCAGGAAGCCCAAAGCCAGGTGCTGGACTGAGGACATTGCTGCTGGCCAGAGTTCCCAGATGGGTTGAGCATCCTTGTGTCCTCCTGCAAGGGAGGGAGACAAGCAAAGTGCCAGCCTGTGGTATCTGGAATCACAGCCAGCTGATGTCTTCTTCTTCTTCTGCTTTCTTCTCCACACCATGAGTCCCTGTTGCCTCCTGCTGTCCTGTGTCATGAGTTCATCTTGAAGCAAATGGGGAACCTCTCTGTTCGTCACCCTCTCCTCACGTGTGTGGCAGGAATATGCATTTTCTGTTGCTGTGAAGAAGTGCTTGACTGTCGAGTGCCCTTGTAGCAGCCTGGACACCGTCCCTTCCAGGATGCGCTGCTTTGTTTCTCTCTTTAGACTAATTAAAATTTATGCTGCATTGTAGTTTCAGTCTCCTCATGTTCCTTCTCTCCCGAAATACCTATTTAATCTAGGTAGGGGAAAATGCGATTTCCTGAATGGGAATAAGATGCATGTTAAAGCCAGTTTTTGACCTCTCTTGTGCATGGAGGAGCTGAGTACTTTCAGGGGCTTCAGTCATTCTAAGAGATATGGTGTGGTTGATGGGAGTATGGTATCATCTGAACACACAAAGGTTTTTCAGAACTTCCCCAAGGAACATATGGCCAACAAGCAAGCTTGGAGGTGCCTCTAGTTTATGAGTCTAGCCATTAAGCCACTGGAAGATATTTCTAGGCAGGCCAACATGCACCTGTATAAGGCTCTGATTGTGTGCTATATCCCTTAGTTGATCCTTGCCCTTCCCTCCTCCAAGTACTTTTTCCAAGGCCTGGAACTGAAGGGAATCCAAAAGGAGTTGAAGGAATAGGTGTCAGCCAGGGCCACTGTGTAAGGGAAGATATGACCTCTCTACTATATATTGACACAATGGGGATGTGATCATTATGGTTGTGTAAAACGTTTAGGAGAGGAATGGTCACACAGGGGTAACTCTCTGAAAGAGATGGGCAGTGCTGGTGACATATACTGGACTCTCTGCAAAGGGATAGAAGAGAACAGGAAAATCACTGTTGTCCACACTGGATCATTTCTGTGGTCAAAACCTTAAGCTGTTGTCGAGACCTTCTATGTGTGTCACTGTGTCCTGAAAGGCAGTGGCTCACAAAAGAGATGTGCTGCAAATCCTTCCGAAACCCCTCCAGCTGCTGTGAAGGCTGTTCTTAGAGAGGTGCCAACCAGTGGTCTTTTTTTTCTCCAACCATGGCCAAACTGGGGAGATTAATGAAGTGTTACACCACCACCTCAATTCTCATTCCTTCCTTCACATACAGGCAATACTTTGTGCTGCTTTTCTGGTTATGCTTCAGGTAAAGTAGGAGGCACCTGCTGTGTCATGCTCCTCCAATTCTCCTTGCAAAGGTTCATAGGCCCTGCTTGCTACTGAGCAGGGTTGTGTGTCCTATGGAAATCCTGCCAACATGTGTGCATACCTGCCTGGTGTGCAGCCATCTGCGTGGCTAAAGCAGAAGCAGTGGCAAAGACATGGGCAAGAAGAAGGATGTGTATCGATTAGGCATGACATGCCTTGGTTCCCAGGGCGCATTCAGCTTTGCCTGTGGTCTCCAGTAAAGAATACTGGGAGGGGAAAAGCCCTAGTTCTTAAGCACTGGCAGTCTGCTGCTGTCATGGTTTAAGCCCAGCCGGTAACTCAGAACCACACAGCCACTTGCTCACTCCGCTCCATTCTTCCTTCCCTGGCTCCCGGAAGGATGGGGAGGAGTGTAGCTCCCAGGGGTTGAGGTAAGAGCAGTCCAGTAAGTAAGGTATAATAAAAAACCACTACTGCTACCACCAATTATAATAATGATAAGGGAAATAACAAGGGGAGAGAATACAATTGCTCACCACCTGCTGACCAATACCCAGCCTGACCCCAGCAGCGATCTGGGCCTTCCTAGTAGCTCTCCCCAGTTTATATACTGGCATGACATGCTGTGGTATGGAATATCCCTTTGACTAGTTCGGGTCAGGTGTCCTGTCTCTGCTTCCTCCTGGCTTCCCCTCCTCCCTAGCAGAGGATGAGACTGAGAAAGTCCTTGATCAAAGTAAACATTACTTTGTAAGAACTAAACACATCTGTATGTTATCAGCACTGTTCCCAGACTAAAGTAAAAAATGCAGCACTGCACCAGCTACTAAAAGGGAGAAAAATGACTGCTACTGCTGAACCCAGGAGAGCCGCTAAATGCAAGAGGGATGCGCAAGAAAAGGAAGACGGCAAATGAGGCAGAACAAATTCTGCTGAGATCAAATCTCAGTCTCAGAGAGTCTAAACCTCATAGCAGAGGTGCCCTGCCTAGAAAGGCGATGCCTAATACAGAGTGCATGAGCCTAACACAAGAACGAGTGGCTGACAGAGCCAACCCTTGTGTGTGCATGTCCAGGCTGAAGCCTCAAGGATATGAGGAGATGGGACACATGCATCAGAAGCTCTTTAAAGTGAGGCCCTGCAGGGCAAGAGTCTTGCTTCACATGGTGAGGTAAGAAAATCCTCATCGTTGGCTGCATCATCTGGCTGTGCTGATGCGTCAATTCCCCTGGAAACATTTTGGCCTCTAATAGTGTCAGTTGAAAGGAGCCTGTGTGGCTGAATGGGCACGTCATGAACAGGGAAATGAAAAGGAAACATTGCAGGAAGCATAAACAGTGTCCCCATTTATTTAATTGTGATGCTTTGCATGGAAGATGAGCTCTTTGCTAAACACATTTCATGCTCAAAGACTGGCTCTGTGCCTGGGGTGTCCTGCACCACTATAAAAGCCAGTCCAACTGCAGGTTCCCTCATCCACTTCTCTTGCCTTCTTCTTGGTGAACAAGGTGAGCTGCAACCAAATTTGCCTCTCTCTTGTTTTGCTTAAACTGTTTCCTTTCTGAGCTTGTTATATCTTTTTCTGAGAGTCTTGGTCCTTTGTCCTGCTCCTGACCTTAGACTCTTAGCCACCAATGTGAGAGGTGGAGAAACGTCTTTGGCTTTCATTCCTGTTTTGGATTCAGTTCCCTTATCTCTCTTCCTCCCTACTGAGGCTGTTCCTGCTCCCAAGCCTGTGCCTTTGCTCTGGGTGAGCAGGCTGTCAGGCTGCTTCTTACATGATCCCTGCGCTTTCCCTGCCCTCTCTCCCAGGTCCCAGGTCCACCTCCATCCCACAGCCATGTCCTGCTACGATCTGTGCCGTCCCTGTGGGCCAACCCCACTGGCCAACAGCTGCAACGAGCCCTGTGTCAGGCAGTGCCAGGACTCCAGGGTCATCATTGAACCATCTCCCGTGGTGGTGACCCTGCCCGGACCCATCCTCAGCTCCTTCCCCCAGAACACCGCCGTGGGATCCTCAGCATCTGCTGCTGTTGGCAGCATCCTGAGTGAGGAGGGAGTGCCCATCAACTCTGGGGGCTTCAGCCTCTCTGGCCTTGGTGGCCGTTACTGCGGCAGAAGGTGCCTGCCCTACTAAACCCAGGCTGGACATCCAGTAAGTGCATCGACCAGGAAAAAAAAAAGCCAGGTGCCGGACTGAGGACATTGCTGCTGGCCAGAGTTCCCAGATGGGTTGAGCAACTCCATTTCCTCCTGCAAGGGTGGGATAGAAGCAAGTTATCAGCATGTGCTGTCTGGAAATATGTCCAGCTGATGTCTTCTTCTTCTCCTGCTTTCTTCTCCACATCATGAGTACCTGTTGCCTCCTGCTGTCCTGTGCCATGGGTTCATCCTCAAGCAAGCAGAGAGTTCATCACCCTTTCCGCATGTGTGTGGAAGGAAAACACTTGTCCCATTGCTGTGAAGGGTGCCTGTCTGTCAGGCGGCCCAGTAGCATCCCGGGCAGTATTCCTTCCAGGATGCACTGCTTTGTTTCTCTCTTTAAACTCATTAAAGTTTATGCTGCATTGTAGCTTGAGTTTTTCTCGTGTTCCTTTCTTCCTGGGATGTCCAGCCAAGCTGGGCTGGGGAAAATGGGATATTCTAGAGGTGAAGAGAGTGAATGAGTGAGGTTCACTGTTTGATCTGTCTTGTGCTTGGAGGAGCTGAGTATACTTAAGGGTATGGTCACTTGAAGAGAGATGTGGTGATAGAGGGAGTGTGTTATAGTCTCAGCATGCAAAACTTGCCATGAGCTCTCCGAATGGACATGTGAGCACCATGCTAGCTTGGATACTGCCTCTAATAACCCAGTGGAAGACATTTCTATACAGGCTAACAGTCACCTGTCCAAAGCTCTGAATGTGAGCTTCTGCCCTCCTCCAAGTACTTCCTCCAAGCCCTGAACTGAAGGGAGTCTAAAAGTAATGTTAGCCAGGGCATCTAAGAGGAGATGTAACCTCTCTGGATATTGGCACAATGGGGGTGGGTTCATCACTGTTGTGTAAAATTGTTTAGGGAGGAGAATGGTCACACAGGGGAAACACTCTGAAAGAGATGGGGAGCATCAGTGACATGCTCTGGAAACTCTGTGGAGGGCTACCAGGGAGCAGGAAAACCATCTTTGCCTCACTAAAGCAGTTCTGTGGTCAGAAGCATTAGTTGATATGGAGTCCTTCTGTGTGTGTCAATGTGTCCTGAGCAACAGTTGTTCTGAAGCAGATGTCTGCAAATCATCCCCAAACCCCACTCAGCTGCTGTGCAGACTGTACCCATAGAGGTGTCAAACAGTGATTCCTCTGTCCCTCCCATCACCCCCCAAGCTGGGAAGACTGACGGAATGGTACCCCACCATCTCAATTCTCAGTCCCTCCATTACAGGCAGGCAATACTTTGTGCTGCTGTTCTGGTAGAGTAGGAGGCATTTGTTGTGCTGTGACACTACGATTGCCCTTGCAAAGATTTATAGGCTCTGCTTGCTGGTGAGCACTGTTGGATGTCCTGTGGAAATCCTGCCAAGTATTTGGCCATGCCTGGTCTGCCGGCCATCTGCATAGTCAAAGTGGAAGTGTCAAAGACATGGGCAGTAAGAACACAGATTCAGAGAATCACAGAATTATAGAATTATTAATGTTGGAAGGAACCACTAGATCATCCAGTCCAACCCCTTTGCCAAGTTATGGCCACCTAGAGCGGGTTACACAGGAATGCTACTGGGCTGATTTGAAGTATCTCCAGAGAGGGAGACTTGATAACTCTCTTGGGCAGCCTGTTCCAGTGCTCCAATGAAGAAATTCTTCCTCTTTCTCAGGTGAAACTTGCGGTTTAGTTTATGGCCATTGACTCCTCATTCTGCTGCTGAGCATCATAAAAAGGAGGACATATGTTGATTACCAGCACGTACATTGGTCACTGGGGAGTATCCAGCTTTGTAAGTGGTCTCCAGCAAAGAGTGTTTGGAGGGGAATAGCCTTGGTTCTTAGGCACTGCTAGTCTGCTGTTAAAGGCAGGTGGGAATGAAGGAGAGAAGGAAGATGACAAAAGAGGAAGAACAACTTCTGCTGAGTTCAAATCTCAGTCTCAGAGAGTCTAAACCCCATAGCAGAGGTGCTCTGCCTAGAAAGGCAGTGTGTAATACAGAGTGTGTATGCATAGCACAAGAGCGAGTGGCTGATGGAGCCGACCCTTGTGTGTGCATGTCCAGGCTGAAGCCTCAGGGCTAAAGGAGATGGGCGACATACTTCAGGAACACTTTAAAGTGAGCCCCTGAGGGTAAGAGTCTGGCTTCACATGGTGAGGTAGGACACTCCTCATCACTGGCTGCATCATCTGCCTATGCTGACTTGTCATTTCCCCTTGAAACATTTTGGCCTCTAATAGTGTCTGTTGAAAGGAGCCTGTGTGGCTGAATGGGCATGTCACAAACTGGGAAACAAAAAGACAGCATAGCAATGAATATAAACAGTGTCCCCATTTCTTTAATTGTGATGCTTTGCATGGAAGATGAGCTTCTTGGTAAACACATTTCATGCTCAAAGACTGCCTCTGTGACTGGGCTGTCCTGCACCTGTATAAAAGCCAGTCCAACTGCAGGCTCCCTCATCCACTTCTCTTGCCTTCTCCTCCTTGGTAAGCAAGGTGAGATACAACTGCCTTTTTGCACTCTTTCTCCTTTCCTCCTCTGTCTTCTTGTATCACTGAGCTCCTTACTCTTTATGTCCTGAGTCTTGGATCCTTGCAACCACAATGGAAGGTGGGGGACGACTTTTTTCAGGGGATGTTTCAGGATTGGGTGTTTAGGATCTCTCTTCCTCCCTACTGAGATTGTCCCTGCTCTCCAGCCTGTGCTTTGCTCTGACTGTGTAGGCTGTCAGTATGTTCCCTGCCTGCTGACTGTGCTTCCCTGCCCTCTCTCCCAGGTCCACCTCCATCCCACAGCCATGTCCTGCTACGATCTGTGCCGTCCCTGTGGGCCAACCCCACTGGCCAACAGCTGCAACGAGCCCTGTGTCAGGCAGTGCCAGGACTCCAGGGTCATCATTGAACCATCTCCCGTGGTGGTGACCCTTCCCGGACCCATCCTCAGCTCCTTCCCCCAGAACACCGCCGTGGGATCCTCAGCATCTGCTGCTGTTGGCAGCATCCTGAGTGAGGCAGGAGTGCCCATCAACTCTGGGGGCTTCAGCCTCTCTGGCCTTGGTGGCCGCTACTGCGGCAGAAGGAGCCTGCCCTGCTAAACCCAGGTTGGATGTCCAGTGAGTGCATGGACCAGGAAGCCCAAAGTCAGGTGCCGGACTGAGGACGTTGCTGCTGGCCAGGATTCCCAGACAGGTTGATCACTGTTGCTCCCTCCTGCAAGGGAGATATGGAAGCAAGGTGCCAGCCTGTGCTGTCTGGAAACATGGCTAGTTGATATCTTCTTATCCTGCTTTCTTCTCCGCATCATGAGTCCCTGTTGCCTCCTGCTGTCCTGTGCCATGGGTTCATACTGAAGCAAGTGCAGAGGGTTCCTGCTCATCTCCTTCTCCCCATGGATGTGGGAGAAATTTGTCTTGATGCTGTGAAGGGTGTCTGACTGTCAGGTGCCCTTGTAGAAGCCTGGACGTTGTCTCTTCCAGGATGCACTGCTTTGTTTCTTTCTTTAAATACATTAAAGTTTATGCTGCATTGTAGCTTGAGTCTCCTTGTGTTTCTTCCCTCCTGCGATGCCCAGCCAAGCTTGGCAGGCAAAAATGGAATGCTATACAGGGGAAAGGTGTGGGTGAAGGTATGTGGTGGTTTCCATCTTTCTTGGGAGATTGGGAGGGGGTGTTCTACTGAAGTTGTCACTTGGATGACATAGTTGCATCCAACACTGCCTTTCCAAAGTCACAAAGTTTTGTCCTGAACAAAAGACTTGTGTTTTGCATCAAACCCCTTCAATTCCTTCCATGGCCAGTAGATGTGCGTGTCATGTTCAGATGTCAAATAAACAGTAACCCACCACTTCTGCCCCCAGACCATGCTCCTCAGTCCCCTTTCTGAAGTACATAGCAATGTTAGACCTGCAGAGTTACTGATTGGGAGTGTACATGACTTGTTGTCCACGAAGCTGTAGTGAAGTCCTTCTCGGTCTCTTGTATACCAGCAGATGAAATGAAGAAATCCTCCAGGGTGCAGCCATTGTGTCCTTTTCCCATTCTCTCCTGAACTGCAAGTCCACTGGGATCAGGGAGGGATATCTCCTTGCCCATGCATGGAGCTGGCATGTAGGTGGTCTGGCCTACTCCTCTGAGATATAATAGTTGCTACTGCAACAGGTGATCTAGAGGATGACAAGCTGCCTGTCCGTTCCTGCCTCATCCTCTAGTCTTCCACAGTTGATGTTTTTCCCTTTGGTCTCCAGTATTGCTTCAGGCAGTTATGTGCACATTTTGTGCTGTGCCCTACGTAGTGGGAACACCTACAGTGTCTTTCCCCATAACTAAAGCCCTATTTTCTCCATATGAAAGCTGCTGGGCATTAAATGTGGGGATATGAAGGTCTGGCAGGAGACCCTACCCATGGATTTTCTGGGGCAGGGGTAGGATTGAAAGGATGCTTAGAAGAAAGGACAGATATTGCACATACACAATGAATGTAAACTTGCTCTCTTGAATGAAAAGTCCCTCTCCCCACACTGTGGTCATAGATGGAGCTGGTGTGCTGTGTCCCAGGTGCAGAAAAGATTTCCTCTTCTTGCACATCAATGGCCTGAGTGCAAGAACTCCCAGGCCAATGGCTGTGATGAGCCTCACCTGGGATCTCTCAGTCCTCTCACTCCCCTTTAACCCACTTCTCTATTTAAGTTCTGTGCTGAGCCTTTGCCCTTTTCTTCAGCTTAGCAGTAGGAGTGTGAGCTTCCTGTTCTTTAGTACATTTGTGTATGCCTGACTCCCTTGATCCAGACAGTCATTAGTGGATGGCATGCCCAGTCTGTGCTTAGTTCTGTCTGGTTCTTATGGCCCTTGTCAGCAATTGATGAGCTTTTTGGCCCAGGTTAGCATCCAGGGATCTACTCCTAATGTGTGGAGTGACTGTGCTGCCTTATGTCAGTCCTGCATCACCATGAGCTTGATGGTTGACCTGGACTCTGGGCTGCACCTGTCTACAGTCTGTGAATTTTCCTTGCTCAGGTACTGTGCAATAGAATCATACATCTGTGTCATGTTTCATGTAATAATTTTGTCCTCTGATATTGTCACTTGAAAGGAGGCTTGTTGCTGAATGGGTACGTCACAAACAGGGAAATGAAAAGGCAGCATTGCAGGGAATGTAAGCACTGTCCTCATTTCTTTAATTGTGGTGCTTTGCATGCAAGATGAGCTTGTTGGTAAACACTTTACATGAGCAAAGGGTGTCTCTGGGCCTGGGGCAGTCTGGACCAGTATAAAAGTCAGTCCCAGAGCAGGCTCCCTCATCTACTTCTCTTGCCTTCTCCTCCTTGGTGAGCAAGGTGAGCTGCAAGTGTCTTTGCCTTCTATCTTGTTTTCCTCTTTTTCATTTGGCCTCAACTTTGCCATAGCCTTTTGGTAGCTTTTGCTGGCAGCCTTTCTCCTTGATCCTGTTCTCTCTGTTTCTTCCTCTTGTTCTCCACTTGGGAGAGGTGGAAGAAGGTCTTACACTTTTCCTGTGCCTCCTTGGGAACTTCAGCTACAGAGGCTCTCTTCCTCCCTACTGAGGATCTTTGACACCCTACACAGGCTGTCCCTTCTCCCCAGCCTGTGCCTTTGCTCTGGCTGAGCAGGCTTTCCCTCACACACTGCCTGTGCTTTCCCTGCCCTCTCTCCCAGGTCCACCTCCATCCCACAGCCATGTCCTGCTACGATCTGTGCCGTCCCTGTGGGCCAACCCCACTGGCCAACAGCTGCAACGAGCCCTGTATCAGGCAGTGCCAGGACTCCCGTGTGGTGATCCAGCCCTCTCCCGTGGTGGTGACCCTGCCCGGACCCATCCTCAGCTCCTTCCCCCAGAACACCGCCGTGGGATCCTCAGCATCTGCTGCTGTTGGCAGCATCCTGAGTGAGGAGGGAGTGCCCATCAACTCTGGGGGCTTCAGCCTCTCTGGCCTTGGTGGTCGCTACTGCGGCAGAAGGAGCTTGCCCTGCTAAACCCAGGCTGGACGTCCATCAACCAGGAAGCCCAAAACCAGGTGTCAGACTGAGGCTGGAGCTGCTGGCCAGGGTTGCCAGATGAGTTCAGTGCTCCTCTCCCTCCCTGAAAAAGAGAGAGAGAAGCAAGGTGCTTTCTGGGCACTTGGCCAACATGTCTTGTTCTTGAAATTCCTGCTCTTGATGACTTTCCATGCCTCTGTGATTTTGAATTTCACGTTGTCTTGGTATAACGCTGTACTTTAAAATGATGAACGGAGGGTTTTTATTCAGGACTTGAGGAAAAGTGAAATGTCTCTTGCTGTCTTTCACTTGCAATGGGTTAAAAGTTTTTTTCTCTTTTATAAATATATATCTTTTGTTTGCTGAATGCTGCTTGACTTTACATGATTAAACTTGTTTTGCATCTGAATATATGTTTCATTATGGTTTAATTCTCCTTTTTTCATCTTCTTGGGGCCGAATATGTCCTGTGGCAAATCTCTGCAGAGTATCTTCTCAGTGGAAAATGTGAATTGAATAGTCACCACAATCAACATGATAAAAAGAATTTCATTGTTTAGACTCCTGCGAAACACTGAACCTTTTTACCTATGTATTTCTCTTGCTATTTTTTTCCCCATTTTTTTTCCCACCTCTGTGCTTAACAGTACAATTGTCCTCTTTTAGTTTGGGAACTTTCTGATCTTATCACTTATTTGGCATCTGTAAAACTCCCAGAATATGAAACTCCCTAATTCAGAAGCAGTATTTGGGTATCTGATTTTGATTAGATTGAATACTACCAGCCTCTGAAGCTTCAACCATGACATTCTTTGAGTGATTTTGACTCAGGGCTTCAAAGGGGAAGCGCATATTCAAATCTCAGCAGAATCATAAAACTATGTTGATGATGGGCTTTGATATCTTCTCTTTCAAATATTAAGCACAGTCCATGAAATATTTTTGCTTAGCTAATCCACACAAAAACTCTCATAATTTAGAGGAAAACTGAGTGAAGAAGTAGATAAATAGCCATAGGTATTTCCTGTAAGATTAAAATCAAATTGCTCCTGTTACCACCTAGGGTTTTTCTCAAAGATCTTAAAGCTCACAACATTGTGTGCAGCTAAGAGACATCAATGACAAATAAAGAATAGCTTGTCTGTAGGCACATAAGCTTCTGAGAAATTTGTCCAAGTTCTTTATTGTATCAATGCCTTTGTTCTACTGCTGGTGCTGTGCAGGTTCTAACAGAACATAGGACAGGAAAGCAACATGAGAGAGTTGTGTAATTTTGATGACTGTCCACTTCATTCAGGGCTTTCTCCTTTAAAGCCTACTAATATCTATTTCAAAAGTGAAATGTTGTAGCGCTGATAGAGATAGTGAAGTAACCAGGGGGAAGACAACTGGAATTCAGGTTCACTGCTAGAACCAGCCCAAATGTTCACATGCCAGGAGGAAAAGATAGTTTTATATTTTTCCAAATGTTTTAAGCTTATAAGCCCTTTTTGCTTAAGAATTACTTACTTGCAAAGTTACTAAATTAAAGGGGGCTGGGGGGGGGGGGGGAAGAATGGTTTAGAGATAGTATGGGATATGTTTACTTTTAGGCTGTGGCTTGAGGCAGCAAAAGCAAGCTATGAAAGATGGGAAATCAGTAGGTCCTAGACTGAATGGAGTCTCTGCTTAAAATTTGGTTTCTTTGACTGTGCTTTCTATAGAAATAATTGAAGGGACTGGAGTGCATCCACAAGTATTTGGTGCCCCGTTGACAGAACTGGTGTGACTGAAGTAATTATTCACACGAATCTCTGAGTAATCACTCTGATGTACATCAAAGAATGGCTTCATTCTTGGTGACAGAAAGGCGTCTTTCTATGATGCAAATGGACCTGTAGCATAGAAAGTACAGAAATGAATTTCAGGAGAATAAAGTGTCCAGTTGTTAAGTGGCCTTTACCCAAGAACAGCATGTCCTGAAAGGTACATACATGCTGCTGATGAATGAAAAAGCTTGGAGAACTAGTCTCTGCCATAAGCCCCTTGGTCTGTTTGCTGATTTAAAAGAACAAAGAAACCAATGTCCTGGAATTGGCCATCTTCAGACAGCATGATGTCATGGATGCTCAACAAGGAGGTTCAAACCCTGCAGCTTGTCCAGGAGAAATTGAAAAGTAAAGTTAAAAAACATTTAGTGTATATTTATATTCCACTTACGTAACAGAATTCCAGCAGTTTGCAGTGTAATTACTGTTGTACTTCAGTCTGTAGCAAGGGAAAAAGTTCAGTGGCAATCAAGTCCTTATGTGTTGTGTTGGTTTTTTTTCCCCTATGTGGGGGATGATATCTCAAAGTATTTTAAAATTTGTATTTGTCCTCAAGGTGACTTGCGCAGTGCTATTCATACATATGGTCTGAGATGGTACAGAATGAAGATATATGTTCTTTTCTTAAAAGAACAGATAAATCAGGTCTACATGTCCCCATGTGTTATTAGCTGTCTCAGACTGTGTTATTGAAGTGTAATAGGGTGATACTATCTAAATTTGATATAGTATAATAGAATTTCACACAGGGCTTTGATGCTTTCTCACTGCATTCAGTGACATTTCAGGTGTGCATATGTTTGTGCTTTTTTATGCCTTCAGAAAACACCAAAGTTCAGTCTGGACTGTTCTTACGCTTGGCTAGAGTTGGAGCTTTGTAAACACTGGTGGCGACAAGAATTTCTTAAGGATACACACTCATATTCTTAATAAAAGAGCAGCTTTGAATGATGAATTATGCATGGTATAAATTCTTCTCAATATTTTTGCTTATGACTAAGGTGAAACATATACTGAAGCATAGAGTTTGTTGTGCCTGAAAGGTGGCACTGGAATAAATTTGCTCCATAATACCAGAAGATGAGAGATACTTGTGTGATGGAATATATATGTCAGAAGGTAAGGAAATAAAAACAAAGTAATAAATAGTAAGGAAAAGACATTTAATCAGTTGGAAGCCCTTTGCATTCAGGACATACTCGTTGGTAAATAATTTCATGCGCAAAGGATGTCTGTGCTCCTGAGGCCATTCGATATGCAGTATAAAAGCAAACTCAACTCAAGGTCCTTACTACCACTTCTCTTACATTTTCCTCTTTTGTGAACAAGGTTAGTTCTACTTCTTTCTATTTGCTGAATTCTTACCTTCATAACAATTTGTTTGCTGTTCTTTTTTCACCACAGTATTCTGCTAGCTGCTGGTTTGGTTCAGGGGAAGACTTTTTCTCTTTAAAGCATTGGGGTTTGCTGTTGGAAATGCAGGTATTTCTGCCAACTTGGCCATATAGATCCTTGAAAAGGTGATATAAGTTTATTCAAATATGGGCTTTCAGATGTGCTAAGTGGTTTACCAAATTCTAATAATAGTAATATTAATAAAGATGAACAAACTGAATGGGTAATATACCGGTGCAAGGGGGGTTGGAACAAGGTGATCTTTAAAGGTCCCTTCCAACTCAAACCATTATATGATTACAGAGATCTCTGTGCTCAATCATCTTTCAAGTAGCAATGTGCTTTTTATATCTTTAAGGGTCTTATCCATCATCTGTAATGTGTGAATTTTCAACTGGGTTGATATGAAAACAACAGTATTTGTGAAGTGTGTGGGTTCATTTATCTTCAGAAATGTCATCCAAAAAAAATTCTTTTCTTTGCTGTTTATTCCATAGAAGCTTTTCACTGTTGCCTATTTTTATCGTGATGAGCTTACTACTGGGCACAGTGGGAAATAAGTGGGTAAGATGATACATATACTAAAAGAAAGAGCTGGTGAGCAGACAAACTAGGAAGGTTTAAAGCAGAGGTCTGTGGGTTATAAAATCAATTAGGTGGAACCACAAGTTTTTGAACTCTAAATACCACTTTCTAAATGAAGATAAAACGGAGCTGCATACTGATATTAGAAGGAATAGCCATAGTTCAGCAAGGATATTGACTCTAATCACATACCCTCAACCTTCTATTACAGTAATCAACATGGACTTCAGCCCGATAAACATATCAGAAAATTCTGCTTGGTGTCTTTTAGTACTCAAGTTTTGAAATTGTGTTATAGGAAGCAATGACATCTACTGCAAGTTTAGAGAACTGGTTTCAGGGACTGTGAGAACAAAGGAAAAAATAGCAAAAATGGAAGAGACCTCAGCACCCAACAAAGTGGGATAAACATAGGAAACAGCAACCTTTGTTCTTAGTGGTATGCTGGAACCAGACACAGTGGGTATTCAGAGAGTATTTTGTTCAGGGAATATTTTGTTCAAGGCCAGGTTGTTGTCGCCCAAGGCTCTGTCCCGTGTGAGGCATCCCTGCCCATGGCAGGGGTTTGGGACTAAATGATATTAAATTCCTTTCCAACCCTCCCCATTCTATGATTCTAAATCCTGGCTTTCTCATAGGATTGAGATCCTGTCCACTGTGGACTAGCTGTCTGGGAAAGATTTCCTAAGACATCAGCTTCAAGCATCCTTAACGATATTGAAATTCATACCTCTTTGTAGGCAAAGTTGGAACCTGGAAAATTATTCATTTCATTTTCCATCTGTCTGCTGAACTCTATCCACAAGTACATTTGTAGCTAGGTATTACTCATAATTACTACTACTACAATCCTCTGAATACCTGGAGCTGGATGTCAGTAGTGCATTTCCAGACATACAGCCAATCAAAATACTAAAAGCAATGATACAGGTACGTGTCCTTTTGTTCTGCCTCCAGCTATTCCATTGAATCACCAATAACTGAGAGTGAATTACTTCATCCTCCATCTTCATGTAGCACATTTAAGAATTTTCTTTCTTTCTCAACTCACGCCCCATTCAGTTTCCCCCCCCAAAAAAAGATCCTTTGAAAGCTCCTATTGTCCTGAGCTGAGTAAATGTAAATGTAGTATGATTCCTATATTGCATTCACTTCTGATCCTGTATTTCAGAATTGCGTCCATCCTACAGACATGTCCTGCTATGAACGGTGCCCCCCCACCTCCTGTGGCCCAACCCCATTGGCAAATAGCTGCAATGAGCCCTGTGTCAGGCAGTGCCAGGACTCAACAGTGGTGATCCAGCCCTCTCCTGTGGTGGTGACCCTGCCTGGACCCATCCTCAGCTCTTTCCCCCAGAACACCACAGTGGGATCCTCAGCATCTGCAGCCATTGGGAGTGCTCTCAGTGCTGAGGGAGTACCCATCTCCTCTGGGAGCTCCTTGGGATTAGGGAGCTTTGGCTGTCCAGGCCTGGGCAGTGGGTACAGCCGGCCCTACCGTCGCTACAACACCTACCGCAG